ATATTTCAGACATGTTGTCAGTGCTAGAAAGTAACTTGCCAGTCTGCAACAAGTCCATCCCCTGCACTGAATGCTAACAGGATATTGGTGGTGTCAAACTTGTGCTTATGTGTGTCAAACTCAAGCCAGGCCAAAATATAATGCCTTCATGTTGCCTGTATATGAAGAGAGTATGTTCAAGAACATGTTTGCCCAAAATTACTTTTGCAACATCATGATTCATTGAAACATTGACTATGTGCTGAAGTTGGCAGTAAATATGCACCAAACAATGTTCAGATTAATAGCACACATGAGTTAATATTGATGATTATAATACTTGATCATGAAATGGCAGCAAGGCTGCCTAGACCCCATGAAGCATAGCTGCAAAATGCATCATCCCCAAAGTAGGTATCATTTATTCACATCTTTACTTATTTATGCATTTCTCTGCAATGCATGTAATGTGTATTTTGTACCTACCATATGCACATTTGATGCAATGATATCCATTGGTTTAGGTACCACTGCCATTTATGAATGCATTGCTGGCTGATAAAGAGGCTGTAGTGTGTCATGTGTGTTGAAGTGCTTAGAACCCTAAATAAGTTGAAGCACATACCCTGTCAACATGCTATAGGCATGCAGCCAGAAATTAAGAAAGGATGTTATGGGTTCATGGCTCATTTATCATACTTACATTTTAAGGTCTCATGACAGTGCATAAGATACTGACATCTAAAATAAGACACTTAGGCACTGTACAGGGCCCCTAGACTATTGTTGGGGGAGGGGGGTAAGGCAAGGGATGCTGCAAGGTAGTTTGACCACCAGGTTTGCCCCCTCTCCCAGGCCATTCGCTACAGTTTGAATACACCCAGGTACCTGTTTATTAAATGGGCAGCAAACCCAGAGGAAGTTGCCATGCTTTGAGGTTATCACAAAAACATTGAATTTTGCACAGGTATTGCTACTGTTTGTCATGATGTAGCATTCACAGGAACACCCTGTTGGATGCAGAAGCAAATTATTTTCATGACATCTTGGGGGCTCCCCTCCCCATCCCAAAAAGGCTGTGAATGCTATAGATAGCAGTAAGCAGAAGCATAGCTGCCACCATTTGGTGTCTGATTTCCAATAATCAACAAGCTAGAGTATATAAGTACATTAATATGGGGGGTTGGCCCACATTGCTGGTAAGGTTGACAAGACTTTAATGCTCATGATGACATGGAGTTTGTCTCCTTTGCTTATGCTGTAGTGAACTTTCCATGTACTCTACTGGATTGTCATGACTAGGTCTGTATTGCTGCAAGCTATTGTAACTCCTCACACAATTTAGTACAAGAGTAGCTCGGGCTCTTAGTCTGCTGAGCAAATACTTTGGTTTCAAGTAGATGAAACCAATGTAAGATTTCCTGAGCCTGATCAGGTTTGATTGTATCATCATAACAGTTTTAAGAAAGGCCCTATACTTCCAGCTTTCAAGTAAAATGAATTCATAAAATGAATAGCAGTCATAAGATTGATGACACTTAGACTGCCTTGGAACCATTTTATTGATAGCAGCGCCACATGTCATGGGTAAAAGATGTCTTAGTGTCCTGGGTTTTTGGGTATATTAAGTTTGTAAAACAGCCTACTTTCTAGATACTGGGAGGCATTGGTTAAGCTGATATAATGTTGGATGACAGTAGGACGATCCACCCATAGAAGCGATTTCTGCACAATGTTATGTACCCACTGCCTGGGTTTTATAGGCAGTCGTGTGTCTGCCTCATGACCCATGTTCATCCCAGTGGTCCTCTGAGAGTGTCCTCAGAGAACTGCATTAAAGTTAGTCTTTCAATTCTTTGTGGTGAGATGACCTCACTGAAGGGGAAAACTTCTGGTCAGGGTCATGAAGTAGGCTTCTCTGGCAAAGTCAGTTTTTTAAAGATTTGGTCAGAACCTTTCAGATGAATACATTTCTGGGACCCAAGCCCACATTGCGCAGGTCTTTGCACAAGCCCTGCTCCACCATGTGGTCATAAAATTCCGGGTCAATAGCAGAATTTGGTCGCAAAAGTTTAACGTACCACGACGCCTGGCACTATCTGTCCTGCCCTCTGACGCTACCCGATCTTTAGGGTGGCTGGTGCCACCAGTCGCAGGTCACCTCAGGCAAAGACAAATACTGGGCGCATAAATCGACTCAAAGCCATCTCGCCAGGGGTGGGTGGATCAGAAGCCAGACGCTTTAACCAACTGAGCTATCAGCACTGATGTGTTCGCTAGGTTTGTTTATTGGACACCCAGACCCTGCCTTTGCATCATAGCGTTCCTTTTAGTAAACTGGTGAAACAGTAAACTCATTGTACTTAATAAAAGGTCTGCTCATACTCATCCACTGACTGATATTGGATAAGTGAAATGCTCATTGGAACGAGCCAAATGCCAGGAAGTGTCCATGCGTGGCTGTATACACTGGCCGGAAAACGAAGCAATTTTTTCATCTCCAGTGTTTGAATACTATCCCATATGACTGAAAAATCCTGTCAGCATGTCAGTCCATCGACAATATGCGAGGAGTGATATACATGGCATGTTCGAGCTGTGTACATATAAGCTCAGTGCAGACCACAGGCTGGCAGCCATTCTGCTCTGTGTTCTGCAGGCCTTGGGCGGAGGTCACCGGCCGCAGGTGGTGTGCGTGTGAGGCCGCGGGAGGGCGGCGCCCGCCGGCTGTCGGCAGCGGCCGGCCGACATGACCGCGCGGGCCGTCAAGTGGCTGGCGCTGGCCGTCATCACGCTGCAGACGACGGCGCTGGTGCTGGTGCTGCGCTACTCGCGCGCCAGCACGCCCGGCCCGCCGTACCTAGCCAGCACGGCCGTCCTGCTCACTGAGCTCTGCAAGCTGGTCGCCATCGTGGTCACCATCTGGCTGGAGAACGGTGAGTGTCCCCGACCGCCCGACCACGCACGGCGGCCCAGGCCGAGCGTCCGCATGGACTGTGTGTGCGTGCGTGTGTGCGTACGTGTGTGCGTGCCACTCCAGGCATGGTATGTCGGACCTCTCACGACGGTGCTGCATGCGGCGCTCTCGTGTCCGCATGTTCGGTAATTGCGCGTCTGCACGCTACACTCATGCCATGTGCACCGGGTTCCTGGCTACAGGGATTGTGTATTCCGGAGGCGAACTACGTGCAGCGTACCCAGCCACGTTACTGTGGCATGCTCACTTCGCTGACCCACTATCCGACAAGAACTCGGGCGAATTCTTGCCCAACTTTGATATGTTTTCGGTTTTACGTGCAAAAGATGATGGGACAGATTAGCTTCAAAGGGCATGCTTAATAAACGTCGCCATAGATGCATGCGCCACCTGGGTGCTTTTATGACACAGCCTTTGAACACAGACATGACACAGCCTTTATGAGCCTCTGTCATGTGTGTACTGACAGCCTGTGTGAGCCTGTATGCTGTGTGTACTGTCACAGCCTATGTAAGCCTATGTGGCATGTGAGTACTGACAGTCTGTGCGAGGCTCTGTGCCATGTGTGTACTGACAGCCTGTGTGAACCTCTGTGTCATGTGCGTACTGACAGCCTGTGTGAGCCTCTGTGCCATGTGTGTACTGACAGCCTGTGTAAGCCTCTGTGCCATGTGTGTACTGACAGCCTGTGTGAGCCTCTATGCCATGTGTGTACTGACAGCCTGTGTGAGCCTCTATGCCATATGTGTACTGACCCCAGCTGTGTGTCATATGTGTACTGACCCTAGCTGTGTGCCCTGTGTGCACTGACCCCGGCCGTGTGTCGTGTTTGTGCTGACCCCAGCTGTGTGCTGTGTGTGTACTGACCCCAGCTGTGTGCTGTGTTTGTGACCCCAGCTGTGTGTCGTGTGTTTTCTGACCCCGGCCGTGTGCCGTGTGTGTACTGACCTTGGCTGTGTGTCGTGTGTTTTCTGACCCCGGCGGTGTGCCGTGTACTTTCTGACCCCGGCCGTGTGTCGTGTGTGTACTGACCCCAACTGTGTGTCGTGTATGTACTGATCCCGGCCGTGTGCCGTGTGTACTGACCTTGGCTGTGTGTCGTGTGTGTACTGACCTTGGCTGTGTGTCGTGTGTGTTCTGACCTTGGCTGTGTGTCGTGTTTGTACTGACCTTGGCTGTTTGTCTTGTGTGTACTGACCTTGGCCGTGTGTCGTGTTTGTACTGACCTTGGCTGTTTGTCTTGTGTGTACTGACCTTGGCCGTGCGTCGTGTATGTACTGACCCCCGGCTGTGTGCCATGTGTTTTCTGACCCCGGCCGTGTGTCGTGTGTGTACTGACCTTGGCCGTGTGTCGTGTTTGTACTGACCTTGGCTGTTTGTCTTGTGTGTACTGACCTTGGCCGTGCGTCGTGTATGTACTGACCCCCGGCTGTGTGCCATGTGTTTTCTGACCCCGGCCGTGTGTCGTGTGTGTACTGACCCCGGCTGCGTGCCATGTGTTTCTGACCTTGGCTGTGTGCCATATGTGTTCTGACCTTGGCTGTGTGCTGTGTGTGTACTGACCCCGGCTGTGTGCCATGTGTGTTCTGACCTTGGCTGTGTGCTGTGTGTGTACTGACCCCGGCTGTTTGTCTTGTGTGTTCTGACCTTGGCTGTGTGGTCGCAGGCCGCTCGATCGGCCGGCTGGCGTCTGTGATCGGCAGCGAGGTGCTTGGCAAGCCGCGGGAGACACTTCGTCTATCTGTGCCCAGCTTTCTCTACACCATCCAGAACAACCTGCAGTTCGTGGCGCTCACAAATCTGGACGCGGCCACCTTCCAGGTCGGTAGGGAGGGCCCATCCGGGCTTCTCAGGCCAGTCCTGAGCCCTCTTCGGGTCAGGCCTGAGTCTTCAGCTCAGTCGTGGGCCATTCTCAGGTCAGTCCTGAGCCCCCAGGTCAGCCCCGCGCCCTTCTCAGGCCAGGCCTGGGCCCGTCTCAGATCAGTTCTGTGTGCGCCTCACACGCAGGGCGCCGCGCTGTCCCCCGATGCGGCCTTCCATCGGGATAATCTAGGCAACCTGTAATGCCGAAACAGGCGCTCCACGAACCTTTCGTTCTTCAAACCGCATGCCACTGTGCTGTATATCTGCTGCAAATTGCCGCCAGTGAACCAAACGATCAATGCTGGTCCTTTGGTGTGTTGTGGATGTTTCTCTTCATGCCAGTGTTGAAGGCTCATGTGTCCCAAGTTCCTTCTGTTTTCATCCGTGTGGATACGCGTTTTGCTTGGCTGCATTGTGGTATTTACCACCACATCGCTAGCGTCACATAGTCGGTGTGCCCTGAAACCCCAATCATCATCATCGTCACGATATGATGCGTGCCGTCAGGTGTCGTACCAGCTGAAGATCCTCATGACGGCGCTGATGTCTTCGCTGATGCTGAAAAAGCGGGTGCGGCCGCACCAGTGGCTGGCATTGGTCGTGCTGGTGACCGGTGTCTGTCTGGTTCAGGTTGGTCTTTGTCGCTGCTGTGCTTGCTGGTGACCGGTGTCTGCCTGGTTCAGGTTGGTATTCGTTGCTGCCGTCCGTGCTGGTGACCGGTGTCTGTCTGGTTCAGGTTGGTCTTTGTCGCTGCCGTGCGTGCTGTCCCACAAGCCAGTGGAGGTTACACGGGAGGTCTACTCTGCGCTGAGAGTAGTTCGGTGTGGTTTGGTCAGTGTATAGTCAGTTATCACCCGCACTGAGCATGGCCCGACAGGGTCTGGGCTGAACAAGGTGTGGTTGGTGTGGGCGGTGGAGGCTAGCTATGGCACGGTCCCGACCTAACTGGCCTGCTGTAGCGTCCACCATGCGTGGCGTGAGCGGGCGCTGACCTGCCGGCCCGTCGGCAGGCGCCGCGGGCCGACCCGGCCGCCTCCCCGGAGAGGGGCAGTAGCCTGCTGGGCCTGTCGGCCGTGCTGGCCGCCTGCGTCTCCAGCGGATACTCCGGCGTGTACTTCGAGCGCGTCGTCAAGTACGGGCCGCCGCAGTCCCTCTCCATACGCAACCTGCAGCTCTGTACGTAATGGAGAACATGTGACGGTCATGCCCCAGCCTTGGCCGCCTGCCAGATATGAAGAGCTCTGCCCAGGCGCTGTTTCATTGTCCTTTTCTGGCGCCGTCAATGAAATGTCGCCAAGTTGCACGGCTGTCACGAGATGCCACCACCGGTGCATTTCGTAGCCGCGATGGGTTCACTTTACTCGTGTTGATTACGGGTTGTAGATAAAAGTACCTATGGGAAAAGCGTGCATGGCAGTTAATCATAGGATAAGTTCGTTTGCTGTTCTTAAGTTCGTAACGATAATGTGCGTAGGGCACAAAGTTGGTGTAAGATGAAGTTCATGTTACCACATGAACTGTTAAGCGGAAGTAGAGAGTATAACTGCCAAAATGGTTCAGCGGGAAAAAATCGCAACAAAAACGTTCGTACGCGTATAACTTTGCGAGAACAATTCCGTACGCAGTTGTTCGGACGCAAACATGGTTAGGAATGCAGTTCAAATGTCGAAAGTGCAGACGGAGAACCTTGCATGTCGATGCGATAGGTAAGAACGCAAAGTTCGCACACAAATGTGCCTGAAGGACAAGGTTTTGACAACGGACGTACTCAAAAGGATGTGTGCAGATGCGTACCGGAAATTCGAATGCAGATCCCCACGGTTGGCACGGGGTGTGAAATAAAGGGTCACTGGGGGGATCGCCTCCCGTTAATCGCAGGGAAGACATATGGCGAGTAGCGGTGTACAGTGCCAACTGCTTAGGTCAGATCAAGTATTAGGACCGTTATGCTGCTCCATATCATGAACCTATACGCCGTCCGGCTCCCCGCAAACCAACCTGAATCAATGTCTAGCATTGCAAAACGTCCCGTGAATACGATGAAACATCAAAAGATTATGATGCTGATCACGCGGAGTGCTTGTTCCCTTGATTTATCACCCTGACGCCGTCCCTGTCGATGTCCCTCGCTGGCGTCTCCGGAGTGCGCCAGCTGACGGCCGCAGCAGGAGTCAGCTCGTTTGTGGAACACGGCGGGCAGACGCGCGGGGGACACCCGGTATGTGATTGTTCATATGAGATAAACGACGGTCCAGAAGTCGAGAGAGATGCGCCTCTGCACCCGCTTCCATACAAACGTTGTTTGCCCCCGACCCAACGCTGCCAAGTAATGCAACATTAGGACACTTCCCTTAAAAGGAGTGTCCCATATTTGTATAAGGTTTTGAACTGAAATAGCTATCTTGAAGATCATTGGTTACAGTTCACATTCGTACCCTTCTTAAGACCTAAAACCCTCTGGTTTCTGATGTAAACGCCCGCGAATATGTGCGGATTATTTCATGCAGACCATTCCAGGCTCATTCAGGGAAGCGTGACGCCAAAGAAACGTCAAAAATCAAAATCAAAATACAAAAAATCAAAGTACGAGTGACAGGTCACTCATATCTTGCGTCTGTGAGCACGTTTCCCAGGTGAAATGATCTCAGTTGGCCCTTAACCAATGTTGTGCAGGCTGTACAAGTTTCAGTCACGAATAACGTTTGGTGCCGCATAATATAACATATTGACATCCTTGCTAGTTGTTACGGAAATAAGCCTTGTAATCGAGTAGCTGAAGAAGTGCACCGTAACCGAGTATGTGGATATAAGCAAGTACTTTAAGCTCACGGATAAAATGTGCAACAACACTCGGAGAAAGGACCGAAACACGAGCACATGACGGTATTTAGTTGAACACACCTCCAGCTTCGCCACGGCCACTTGTAGGAAGATTGAAGTGCAAGCGAGTGCGGGGGAGCAATTTCGCATGGCCAGTTTGGCAGCACCTCAGCGTTGTGCAGACGTTCCAAGACGCAATCAAACTATGACGTGTTGGGAAACGTATTTACTAAATAGAAAATTGTGTTGTCTTCAGCAGCCTTTTGCACTTAAAAGTATACCAATTGTTAGGTGAGCTCACTTCATTATGTCTAATGCTTGTCCCAATATTTTTAGCTGTGGAACATTCTCTTCAAGGCATGTAATTGGGCTAGCTTCCCCCTGTATCCGGCGTAGTGTTCATGCGCTGGTCTGGGGCGCTGCTGGGTCGGGGACAAACAAGGTTATTATCAAAGCGGTTGCTGCAGGTGCGTCTCTCTCGACTTCTGGGCCGTAGCTTCTTTCATATAGGCAATCACATACCGGGTGTCCCCCGAGCGTCTGCCCGCCGTGTTCCACAAACGAGCTGACTCCTGCTGCGGCCGTCAGCTGGCGCGCTCCGGAGACGCCAGCGAGAGACGTCGACAGGGACGGCGTCAGGGTGATAAATCAAGGGGAGCCACAAACACACCGAGTGATCTGCGGTGTGATTTTGAGTTTTTTTTTCGCCGGTTCCTTCCATTCGAGGGACATTTTGCAACGCTCTCTTTGATCCAGGTTCATTTGCTGGGCGCCGGACGACGTTTAGTTTTACGATTAGCTCTTTAGGGCTCTTTATGCCTTTATGGTGACTTTAATATGGCTCTTTCAGTTCAAAGCCTCATAAAAATGTGGGGCGCTCCCTGTAAGCCATGCTGCGGAGCACAAATTTCAGCGGAATCTGAGAACCGACTGTACATAGTTTGATACTTGGGCGGCTGGTCTTCCCGGAACACTCCTCCATATGAGTAATATCCATGGAAACTGGTTGCTTTTTATTTAATGCCTATGAACTGTTCGTACTTTTTCACTGGAACGTTATCCGTTACGAACCTTAGCTTGCGTGCAATGCTTACGAGTACCTGCATGCCTATTCATGGATGCGAAATTCCTCCATATGGACTTGTCAATGCGAATGTTTAGCATGTGTGCTTTATACTTTATGACCGTTGCTTCCGAGCTTTTGCGCACGTATTTCTGTCAATCGAATTCATTCCATTAGGAACCATAGCGTGCGTGCAACTATGCGAATTTTTGTCAATGCCAATATTTCACATAGACTTCGTACCATACGTATCTTTGCTTACGAACTTAGCGTACGTACTTTCGCCGCACGAACTTAGTACCTCACACTCGTTTGTCTACGAAAAAATGGTGTATTTACTTGATGTGCTTTTGCGTACTTAGCGCACTTCTTAACGCACTTTTCCATACGTGCGTTTGCTCTAAAATCATTGATTCAACGGCAGGCACATCACACTATCGGGCGTCCATTTGTACGCCACCTGTTACTCCCTAAGCTGTCCTTCCGGTGCTGCGGATGTTGACGTTGTCTGCTCTGGTGGCTGGAATACTTTGCGATGTTTGTATAGCGTTCTGCTGTCACGCCAGGGGTCAGAAGGCCTGGGATCATCAGCGGCACGTGGTTGCGAAATAGCTGTAGGAAGTAATCATTTGAATTTTTGTCTATGTTGCGATAATTCTAGTGACCTTCTTTGTTTCGCGTGTTAATGTTCCCGCGCTCGTGTCTCTGGTATTTGTGCGACATTTCCAGATGGCGTTATGGTCTATGTGTGATTACCGGCCCGTGTGGGAGTCTACGGCCGGGGCCCGTGTGTCTCGTGCCGTGCTGACCTCTGACCGCGTCCCATCCCGCGGCTCTGCCGACATCTGACCATACCCCACCCTGCGGGTCTGCTGACCTCTGACTGTGTGCCAACCCGCGGGTCTGCTGACCTCTGACCGCGTCCCATCCCGCGGCTCTGCCGACATCTGACCATACCCCACCCTGCGGGTCTGCTGACCTCTGACCGTGTGCCAACCCGCGGGCCTGCTGACCTCTGACCGTGTACCAACCCGCGGGCCTGCTGACCTCTGACCATGCCCCACCCTGCGGGTCTGCTGACCTCTGACTGTGTGCCAACCCGCGGGCCTGTTGACCTCTGACTGTGTCCTACCCCGCGGGCCTGCTGACCTCCGACCGTGTCCCACCCCGCGGGCCTGCTAAGCTCTGACCGTGTCCCACCCCGCGGGCCTGCTGACTTCTGACCGTGTCCCAACCGGCGGCTCTACTGACCTCTGACCGTGCCACAGCCGTGTTCTCGCTGCCGTTCGGTGCGGCGGCCGTGCTTTTCAACGACGGCGCGGCCGTGGCTGAGCACGGCCTGCTGCACGGCTACACCCGCTACACCTGGCTCGTCATCGTCCTGCAGGTGAGGTCGGCCGCTATGGCCGCGTGCTCCACGCTGCTGATACCGGACTTACCGTGCCCCATCGCTGAGTGGCTGTTGAGGAAGGGCATGTTTCGTTCGTCGTCTCATGTCGATGCCGTTGCGGTTCGTTTAGCCAGTGCCCACAATAGGGAGCTTTTGTCCACGACGTTGGGTGCCTGACCCGGGGTTTGAATGACGGATGGTTTGACCCGAGCAACCCCTCATAAAGGCCAGCTGGTGCTGGTCTGCCGGGAGTAGCTATGTGATAGTATCGTATGGTGGGTGCAAATTGGCCAATGTGGGTGTGAGTGCAGTGGGTGCAGATTCAGACTGATGGGAACGGCCGTACCATGGGATTGTATGGTAGTTGACTATTCCACAGCGAAGCTGTGTGCTCAATCAATCGCTACGTTAGAATGAACTACTTGGTGGGATGGTTCACCGCACACGCAACGGACTGCCTAGAATGTGCTCTGCATCAAAGCCCTTGCAAAACATTCAGAATGCGCGGCCCTTTGTAACATGGTTTGGTGCACATTCTGCCAACCTTGCATGTGATAGGTTGCCCACAGCGATTGCAGTCATCTGCCGGATGTGAGGTGATGGCTGTGGCAGGCCGGTGGACGTGGCCGTCCCGCAAAACCGCAGACATCGGGTTACATCAGTGTTCCCCTTGCTGCATACCAGTAATCTCTTGGTTGGGAGAAAGCGACATGGGTAAAGTGGTTCTCGATGTAATTCTCTAAAGAGTACATTTTACTGTTTGTGTGTGGTCCCAATTACTGCCGACTTGCCAGCTCGTCTCTGCGCAAGCGCGTCAGGTTAAACAGTCGGATGCATTGTTGCGGTAATAAACACGGATGTAAAGTGAGTCGAGCTGGTCTCCGTTGACGTCTTTGTTGCGTCATGTGCTCGCTACATGGCGATGTGTGCCCCCTCGTCACTGGCGCCCACGCGACCAGTCTTGGTCTGCCGTCCGTCAGCTCTTCCTGGAAGCCTGTCAGGTCTGTCGTCTGTCGGGTACTCGGCGATGTGAATTTAACCACAGCACAAGCGAAGGCGGTGCTAGCAGAATCCGGCAACGTTTTTTATTCTTCAAAATACCAGCATCCCGACTTGCCCAGCTGTCTCCGGCACGGCCGTGCGGCCCGCAGGGCTGTGCTAGCTACACGCGTTGTACATAAGTGGTGCTTTGCACCTCGCTTTAGATGCACGTCTGCATCCACTCTGGTTGCCGAACTGTTGCGGTACGCGAGCACGCATGACAACGGGTGCGTTTGTCGTGACCGATGATGTGTCGTGACCTGCCGCACTGTAATCGCACCCCGGCGCCACGCCATTCTCCATTCAGTGATCTGCCAAGCGGGTCAGCCTCTTGTAACTGCGGCTCGTGGTGGTCGAGATGTAGACATGGTTTCGAAATGCTGTTCGCCTGTCGCGCGCGGGTCATCCGTCACACCGCCAACGTCAAACCAGTGGGCTAAAGCCGCGCCTTGCGCCAGGTACCGTTCGCCGACCTGACCCGCGCGACACTTGCCACTGCGAACTCCGCGCGTGCATCGTGAGAAACTTTCCCCAGTCACCAACACACCATTCAGCCCGACTCGGCGAACGTAACTGAGAACGAGCGGAAAGACGCGCTTTCATCATATGGCATATAAGTCATCCAACATGCACTAGAGTTGTTAAATGTCTGACAATTTTAGCGCGCGGCTGCGGAGCGTAAGCCAGCATCTGCCCCCGCTTGGTTGTCTTTCGTGCCACAAACTTCTTTCGTGGCCAGCGAGACGAACCACACGATAGAACCAACCGCTTCTGCTCAAACATTGCCGGGGCATTGGACGCATCCAGCCGGAGGAGACCACTGTCTTCCTCACCTGACGCGCCGTAGCATGCCCGACGTCTGCGCTGCACACCGCCCGGTCTGGGCCCTCACGGCACGTCCCCCGGTAGGCGTTCGGTGGACCGCCCGTTATCGGCCCTTACGGCACGTCCCACGGCAGGCGTTGGGTGGACCGCCCGTTCTCGGCCCTCACGGCACGTCCCACGGCAGGCGTTCGGTGGACCGCCCGTTCTCGGCCCTCACGACACGTCCCCCGGCAGGCGTTCGGTGGACTGGTCGTCTCGCTGACCATGAAGTACGCCGACAACATCCTGAAGGGATTCGCCACGTCCATCTCGATCCTGCTGTCGGCGCTCGTCTCCTGGGCGCTGCTTGGCGACGTCCAGCCCAGCTGGTCGCTGGCGTGCGGCGCCGGCCTGGTCGTCTGCGCCACGTTCGCCTACGGCTACAGCCCGCGTCCGGCGCCGGCGCCGCCTCGCGCCCAGGTCGACTGAGCGGCGGCGGCGGCGGCGGCTGTGCGGCGGTCGGCGCCGTCTGTGGGCTGCCTGGGGCCGGAGCACCCGTGACAGGGCCGGGCGCAGGGACGCCGGCGGCTCGGCTGCGGAGCAGCGACACGGTAGCAGCCCCGGCCGCTCCGCCGGACCACGCGGCGGTTGACCTGACTCCCTGCGGACACCGACCGACACAAACGGCATCGGAGCCTAGCGGCAGGCGAGCATGGCATCTCCGGTCTCAGTCATCGGGCCACACCTCCCTGACCACGCCTGTCTAAACCGTCGTTTGTCAGCTTCCTCCTGGCACTCGCCCCTGGGTGTGTTATGCAACGCATTGGTGTTGACGGTGTCAAACAGATTTTGCAGTACGGCAAGGGATGAAAAACAACTTAATGACGTTAATCCTAGGCCGTCGTTACGTTATGCTAGACCATTATTTGGTATTTAGTGTGACAGTTGTTTTATCAAGCATGTTCTGCTAACTCGCTGTGTTTGGGATGCAACAGACAACCTCCCTTCTTGGTAACCACATGTTGTACCACATGGCAGAGTGAAATGGATGGGCTTCAAAAATCCCTACGTTATGCACCGTTGCAGTTCTCAGGTGGGCCCCGTCAGTCAGGGTCCGCTGGAACTGCTCCAGGTGTCAGCAGCTCTGGTTGTCAGGCGAGCCTCGCCAGTCAGGACCCGCGGGAGCTGCTCCAGGTGTAAGCTGCTCTGGTTCTCCAGCGGGCCTCAGTCAGGGCCCGCGAGAGCTGCTGCAGTTGTCAGCGGCTATGGTTCTTAGGCGGGCCTCGTCAGTCAGGGTCCGCGAGAGTTGCTCCGGGTGTCAGCGGCTATGGTTCTCAGGCGGGCCTCGCCAGTCAGGACCCGCGGGAGCTGCTCCAGGTGTAAGCTGCTCTGGTTCTCCAGCGGGCCTCAGTCAGGGCCCGCGAGAGCTGCTGCAGTTGTCAGCGGCTATGGTTCTTAGGCGGGCCTCGTCAGTCAGGGTCCGCGAGAGCTGCTCCGGATGTCAGCGGCTATGGTTCTCAGGCGGGCATTCGCCTACCCGGGCGGCGCCCCAGCACTCGCTCGGAGGCCGGACGGCTGGCCAGGCCTGAGTGGGGCCGCATTGTCGCAGAGGCATTGTCGCTCCCTTCTGGCGCAAACTCCAGGCTGGATTCTAGTCTCTGACAAACCAGTTAGTCGACTCTGTATGACCGTCGCTGTATGCCTAATGAAGGTTTCGTGGGACAGGACATGCACGCGCGCCGGTGCATTGATTGAAGGTGATGGCATTTAGGCGGGTGGCCTCCGAACACACGGCGAACGCCCTTGTGCCAGTAGACAGCCAAAGATACCCAAATTCACTGCAGTTGATAGCTGATGTCAGATGATGTGGGTGCTACTTGTATCATGCGTATCGCGTTAAATTTCTAGAATAACATCATTCCGAGAGGCTCATTAGTCAGGGTTTGTCCAATGTAGTGTGGGTACAGTTCGTTTACAAATGGCCAGTGTATTTTACTCAGCTCATCATGCAATGTGATATAGCTTGTGACGCATCTGAGAGGACTGCTTTTCACGTCTGGCCGCTGGTGCTTGTCTGGGGTGTTTTTGTCTAGATCGGTCTTGAGTATTTGACCACATATCCGACTTCACCCGTAAGTTGGTTTGCCCTGCTAGTCTGGCGTTTACTTATATGTAGTCACGTGTGATGCAAGGCTGCGAGATCCGGGCCATGCGATTGTGCCATCGATTTGCGTCGTAGCTGGTTATCTGTTGCCTTTCATGTCGAGACCCGATCATTCGTTTGGCGGCATGATTACCGCACTGCCGTGCCTCAGGGGTTTCACACTCGGTTCCAGTGAGATTACACCGTGTTGCCATTGTTTTATCTAGTCACAGCGGGGTCTTGCCTTCAGATTTGTCCTCAGTCATAACCGCTGTTTGGCATGATTCCCCGTCTGCACGCTGAAAACATCCGTCGCCGATGTAGACTGCAGGTGACGAAGTGTGAGTTGTGACCATGCGCTGCGTGTTTGCCGGGCTGGCCAATACACTCCGCCACGCGAGCGCGACCAGCTGTCTTTTGTCGGCGGCTGCCAGTACTGGCGGAGGCCACAGGAGTTTGCATGCGAAGTTAACTGAAGCCATGGTAAGTTAGGTGAGGCACTGGCGGGCGGTAGCATCGCCAGTGCCGCGGACCGGTATGAACCGGTATTAACCATCCGGTCAGCCCGGCCATAGCAGCGCCACATGGCTCAAGGCCAGCATGATCTTCACGAGGGTTGGCCCGTTTGGTTTCTGGAACCCAACATGGCCGTTTTGACACCAAAACGGTCAGACCCGCCGTAACTGACTGCATATTGTCTTTGTACCCGAAATCCTTAGTTCTCGAAGTGAGCGGCCGTTTTCCTTGAAAGTGATGCGAACGAATACCGCGGAATGGTAACAGTGCTTCTTATTACATGAACGATCTCCGAGCATAGAGCCGCTCACAGTTCTGTGGTCCTCACTCAGTGGTGTTGATTGCGTAGCTGTGTGATTTCCATTCATTTGTGTTTATCGCGCAGTCGTGTAATTTCCAGTCAGTTGTGTTAATCGCGCAGGTGTGTGATTTTCACTCATTCCCCCCCCCCCCCTGGCATGCCTGTATCATGATGTTACTGGCGCGCGCCTGAGGCCGTCCCTGCTTGCGCCGCCAGTGCTGCTGCACCTTGGTACGCCGCTGCCCCGACTGGCGGTGTACTGCCTGGGGCGCCGCCCGCCGGGGTCGGCGCCGCCCGCTCGCCCCGCGGGTTAATGCAGTTGCCGTCTCGCAGCGCTCGTGTCTGGTCTGGGCAGACAGAACACGTAAGACTTGAATGATGCCTATCGATGAAAACCGTCACGTTCAGGGTTGGCACAAAGCATGCGTGCCCTCGTTTAGCCTTCTATCGTAAGGTAAGGTAAATGACGTAATTTTTGTAAACGGAGGCCCAGATGCCCGCCCGGTGGCCCACCTCCCTCATTTTCTTTTTAACAACGGATCTAGCCCACTTTATTTTGGCAGAAAGATACATTTGTCTAATTCTGGTATTATATACCAAATAACGCTTAATTTGGTCATCATGGTAGTCGTGCAGGGGCGGATCCAAAGAGGTGGGGGGGGGGGGGCAGTGTAGAAACGTACCCCTTCAGATCGGAAATAAAAAAAAACGCCAATTTAAAGACCGCCTCCGGGCGCCGAAGACGTTTTTCCGTAACGCCCACGAGCGGCGGCACGCATTTTTGTTTGCGGAAGACGGGGACGGGCTCAGGCAAGAACGACTTGGTCATTCCCGCGTTTCGGAGTTTTTCATTTTAATCCCTGGAGCCTTCAAAAGACGGTAGTAATAACCTTATTCCCCGGAGAAAAAACAGGAGAATAGAGAAAGCAGGTGCTTTGATGTTTCGGCAACATGCCTTTATTGAAACGAACAGCAGAACTTCCGCTATTCGTTTTGATAAAGTTGTATCGCCAAAATATCAACGCGTCTTTATCTCACTTCACCTGGTTTTTCTCCGATGAATAATGTTATTACTACTGTCTTACCTATAAGTATAATGGTCTTCGCAGACGCACTTGACAACTTACTCTTAACCTTCTTGTGTCTCATGACCTACGCGCGTGGAATGCGTTACTTCGTTTATCCGTTCAGCTTTTGCAGTTTTGGTCGTCGGTTTTCTGCATGCAACCATGTTTTATTAGAGTGGGAGCGTGGTGCTCTGTGTAGTGTTAAAAGTTCCATTCAAGACACTGTTTTGCTGTAATGTGCGAGCGGCGCACAAAAAGTCTGGTCTGAATTCGGCCTCGTACCACATTTTTTAAAAACAACTTTATGTCGAGCACCAACGGTTTATCCTGGCACATGATTTTTACGGTTACAAGGATCTTTCAGCTGAGTTAAGCAGTTAAGTACAAAAGCGGCAGGACTGCAGATGAAACAGCCTTCTCGAACCCCCTCGAGTTATGACATTCAGGTCGGCACCAAGTCAGGGACTGGTCAGCTCGAAGAACAGCATGCCTGGTTCACAGCTGTTGGCGCGGCGCATGTGGATCACGAATGGATAGGGCCCCAGAGTCATTACACTCGTACCACTGTCTCATAAAGGGGAGTTTACGGTGGGTCTTGTAGTGACCCGAGTGCACCACGGCAGAATGGCTGATCACGCCGCACGGGCTGCACTTACAGTCCCTCGGTACGGCAGAGTATGGCGACAGGTTCAGACCACTGGCGGAAAAGTCAACAATGGTCATCATCTTGTCTTTGTTTTAAGCCCGCTGCAGCAAGAACCGTTTCATGTGCACTACAAGGATGCGCGAGAACCTCTGAATCAGGATGTTCTTCCGAGCCACTTCAAGCATGCGCAAGAATCCCTGAATCAGGGAGTTCTTCCGAGCCATTTCAAGGATGAGCGAGAACCCCTGGATGAGAAAGTTCTTCCGAGCCACTTCAAGGATGCACGAGAACCCCCGAATCAGGAAGTTCTTCCGAACCGCTTCCGACGTTTCTCGGACGTAAAGCACGTCGGCTTTTCATCTCCGTCAAGCACCTCTTGGCGAAAAGGTCAGGATAATCCTGTAATCGCACCTGGTCCCCTGGACGAGATCGGTGGGCTTAGGTCCAAGAACGAGTCGAACGGTATGGACTCGTGACCGCGGACTGCACCACAGTGTGGACTAGACCTGCCAGACAAACAGATGAACTCGTGACCGCAGACTGCACCGCAGCGTAGACTAGAGTTGCCAGACAAACAGGTGAACATTTAGGTTGCGGAGGAGGAAGTGCAGGGCTCACGTTTATTGGACACAAACGAAAAGGCAGTGAAATATGAAATGACACACTTGTATGGAAACGAAGCTAAAAATAAATTTGTTTCAATGCATCCAAATGTGCTATAAAAGCAACGATGAGAATGGGCTTGTTGTCATTGGTGAATCAACACACGTGCTATTATATGGTTATTGCGCGCCGGCGGCGCACAAACACGTCCGTTGAATGGGTGCTTGTAGAATTATACGGGCAGGTTTAAATTTGATATGAAGTATTTGTTCTGAAGCATTTCAAAATGAAGTTAGAAATCGGTGTTTTTTTTTTGGAATTCAAATTAATTATTCAGTTATCATTCATTTACTATTGATTACAAAAGGTACTTAGTTCGGAGAGGATCGCACCGATTGAAATTACTGGAACCGTCTCTGTAGTCATGGCCCGCAAACAACGTCCAAAAGAGATAGCCTTGGTGTGATGGTCAACTTCTTCCCAGGCGTTTTTACCATTCCGGCCAAAAACATTGGGGGGGGGGGGGACAAAACAACATTGGGATCAAGCCAGCTTCTGGTGGTCAGGACCCTCACTAAAGAATACAAATCGAAACCCGTGAGATGTACTCGTGTTGGCGCTGAATAAATACTTAAGCCAGCGATTGTACCGTCATGTATTTGCGTATTTTAGCAAAACACTACGGAATATTACGTAACGCGGAAAAGCACTGACAGGAATCCAGAGCCGCCATAAAAGGAAGGACGCTTTGTTTGGTGCAAATAACCATTGCAGTCGAAGTGCCCTTAAACACTAGTATTTAACTGATGAAGTGCATGTTTAAGGTTTCTCTTAACCCTTATGTTTGGACGCATGAGCACACATACGTACACATGCATTCACAGGTGTACGTATGTGTTAACTCAGTCCAGAGACGCAGCCGGGGGGAGGACCAAGGGGACGTGCCCCCCTCCCCCCCCCCCACACACACACATCTGAGCCAAGAGATTTTCACTAGGTACTGGGCGGTTTCGCATGAAGTGAGTCCAGTTCCTGGATTGGGAGAAAATCGACATCCCCGAGGGAACATTTTCCTACGTGTTTGCCGAAGTCTATGTGCCTGACAAG